TCCTGGGCCTGGGGCCCTCCAGGCCAGGTTAGGGGTAGCCACGGGTGCAGGGTGGGTTTCTGTCTTCAAGGCCCTCATCTGGGAATGACCATAGCTCAGAGCTGTCCCCGTGATGCTGCCTATCAGCTCCCATCTCACGTTGCAGCCATGACCTTGACCCAGCATATCTGCCAAATGGACAGACCCACAGCACACTAGACCCCTGAGACAGCAGTTCTGGGGGCTGAAACTGCTGGCAAGGGGCACAGTTAATGCCAGTCACCATTCAGTTGATTCCAACTTAAGATGACACCACGTACGTCAGAGTACAACTGTGGACAACAGTCCCACTCTGGCGTAGCTAACAGGGACTGTGAAAGACACGAATCGCCCACAAGTCAGCTCAACTCCTTCATATTTTTTCCATCTGTATTTTAAACTCTTGGCAGCTTGACGCCTAAGACATACAATGAGCTCAGCGCACGTGAAACGAACAGCCCCAATGAGTGAGTGAGCCATAAGTCAACAGTCTTAATGGAGCAACTTGTAACAGGCAAGTGGGATTAGATCGAGAGTCAGTTAATAGACAAGGTTAAGAGCCTAGGAGAATAAAGCAAGCCCTGGAACTGCTCTCAGGCGGCCCTCGGGTTCCTGGAGAGAAGCCTCCCACCCCAAGGCACTTGGGTGGATGCTGAACCCTGATGAGCACAGCTTAGTTTGCAGGGGTCCTTGGGAGGGCCAGGTCGGGGCTGGCACAGAGGTGCTTAGAGCCAACCTCCTCCCGGTCCTGGGTCTTCACCCCAGTACTGAGAAGCCTTTACAGTAATCAAAGGGGGACAGGCCACCAGAGGCGGGAGGGAGGGGAGGGGAGAGAGAGAGCGCGAGGTACCCTGTGCAAACCCAGCTCCCACTGTGTCGCTGGCGCTGTACCCGTTGACCGCGGCCTTGCTGCTCAGCTCGGTCATCTGGTGCAGCCGCAGCTTCCGGCAGTAGATGGAGGCCGCCTCTGGCTCCAGGGCGATGATGAGCTGCTCCGAGTTCTCGGGGGAGGCCAGGCCCGCCTGGAAGACAGAAGCCGAGGTTGGGGCCCGGGACTCCCTGGGGCAGGCCTCCT